CAGCCGTTGAGCACCAGACCCTTTTGGAGAGAGACAGACCTTCGTAGAGCCAGCACAAAACCACACAATGGTCCCAATCAAGTTCATATAATCCAGAGAATTCCAATGAAAAAAGTCCTGGTGAGCTCTGGAGAAAACCCCAGACCTCAAAGCAATGCCTCCCCACTCGAGAGGCTTCATGGGCCGACAAGTAGCACTCATATTGACCGATGAGGCTGGAAGAAGTTCTGGTCCGGTTCTGGTCTGGTTCTGATCTGCAGCCACTGAGCGCCGAAGTCACTATGAATAAGGACCAAACTTTTTAGTCTGGTTCGGATCGGATCAAAACGTTCCCTCCATTTTTGCAGAAAGCAACGGGCTGGGAGCACTGTTGGCTTATGGGTAATGGAGTTCTTTTGGACTGGTGATACAGTAAAGGCTTATTTAAAGAAAACTACAAAATGATGGTGGCTGTCTGTAGTATTATTAATTATTAATTACCTTTTTATCTGTATAATCTCAATCACGTGAAGTAATATTAAAGTTGACAATTGTTGAAAAACTGGAAAAGAGCAAGTCGGCGAAAGTCGAACTGCGAAGTAGCGAGGGACTACTGTGCATTGAACTTGTGCTTTAAATGTATATATGTACAGTATATTGACTTTTAAACTTTTAAACCTTCAAGCTGAAAAACTCTGTTTGAAGACAGATGTTACAAAGTGTGTTGTTTGTCTCTCTCGTGCACTGTTTTGTAGAAGAAACAGTAGTTATAGAGGAGGGTTTTTTTGTTCAGAAGGTTCATTCTGGGCCATTTTGTCTCAGAGAGTCCAATCATGTGAGTCACTGAAGTGAATCGGGTTTTAGGTCGGCATTATCAACTGCTGGATGGGAAATTGTGGCTGTTCACTATGGAAATGAACTATCAACATCCTCTCTCATTTCCACCTATGTGCTCTGGACCCATCGTAAGTTCTTCTGACAACAGCGTAACAGCCTTGTCCACTGACTCCCATCAATCTGGATTTCTCCAGACATTCATCATGAAGATTGCACCCCTGATCCACCTTCTGTCTTTTGACTCATCGCTTTTCTTAGTTCTGAACTGGATTAGAAATACTTTTAGTGCTGTTGTTGCCTGGCAGTGCTACATGTGCTTATTGAGCTGTGTTGAGAGAGACGCTCCAGGCCTAAATAAATGTTCCTGTGACAGTCCCAATGACTTCACACACCCACTTAGAGAAGCTGATGGGGACAGCAGACCTGCAGGAGTGCCCAGAAGTCGGTGCGCTCCCAGCTATTCTGCCACTTGGCAACATCTGCAATCTGCTCCAAGGAGGTGTCACTATTGATTTGTGTAAATGACACTACAATGCTACACAGCCAGTGGCCAAGAAACTACAGTCCTTTTTTACATGCACTCATCTAGAAAAACAACCTTATTTTAGTTTGTTAGTCATACTTCTCTAATTTGTTTGATTTTATAACTCCTAATGTAAAAATGTTGAAGCAGCATCTAAACACCCAAAGCGTTCACATTTCCAGGAACCAGCTAGTGATGGCCTTTTAAAGAGTGGCTTTCTTGCGTTGAGAAGAGCATCAGAAAATGACAAAAGAAGGTGGCAGAAATCTCCTCCTTCCTATTTTATCCAATATATTTCAAGGCTGATACAGACTTTTCCCCCCCCCCGCATGGAGTGGCCTCTGAGGAATGCTGAACAAGAAAAGATAAACGAACACTAGACTCCTGCATTCTAGTTCCATCAACCTGGCAAAATAAAATAATTTGCGCTGAGGAGACTGGGGATTTGGCTGCATTTCCTCAGGACCCTTACATTTTTTTTATTATTCCCCACAAGACTCTGTCTTGAAATTAAATGTGCCTTTTTTGCAATTCAAGGTTTTTGCAAAAAAAAAAAGGGCATAAAAAGAGCATTCAAATGAGCCTGGCCAGGTTTAAATTAAGTTAAAACAACTTCAGATGAACAGCAGATGACATTTAGCACAGAATATCTATTTATTTGATGAAAACTAATTCAGAAGCAGCGACTGGAAAGGTTAGTAGTGGAAAAAGGTCTCATATCTATAGTGGTGGGGGTGGGTTTGCAAAGCTGATTTCTTCGGTTGTGGGGGAGGACCATTTGTAAGTAATTCTCCAATATAACCTTTTTTCTATTGTGAGTAAAATAGTTAATTGATTACTATTGAGCGAGTCTTTCTGAATAAATGAATTAGTTTTCTTGAAGATAAAGAAGAATCAACCTTGAATTGTTGTTCTTTTATTTAGGAAAAGCAGGTTGATTATATAGTCCTTATTTTATATATTTTGGATAAATATGTTATGAATGTTTTTTTTACATTTAAAATACCTTTATTTTGTTTAACATTTTCATAGATCGTAGATCCATAGATGATGATTAGGGGCTATTTAATAAAATAATCATCATACCATATCAAATAACTCAGAACATTGATGAAAGCATGAGAAATCATTTAAATACAAACTATAGTGACATGTGATTTTTTTTTTTTGTGTGTGTTTGATAAGTGAGTGGAAAGCCATGGGTTGCTTTAAAACAACACCTAGCGACTGCATTGAAACTTTGCAGGATACAGTCAGAGAACAAATGCAGCAAAGGCATGCTACCATCGGGGGTGTGGGGGGTCTTTTGACCTTGGGACAACTCCTTCTCAGAGGACTTTAAATATCTCCCTTTTGTTAGATGGTAAAGTCAAACAACCAGCAACTGCTATTTCGCTCTAGTGCCTCAATTTCCTAGCTAAAATGTAGCAATAGGCAAACACTCAACACATTCCAGCCTAAGACCCCTCTGCTTCTATAGGAACCTCATTAGCAATCTTTGCTTTGTTGCAAGCACCGCCAACCCTTATAACATTTTAAAATGTATTTCCAGTCCATGACCTTCTTAACTGAAAATACACCTTTTTTTCTTCTTCTTTTAATTCTATATTCATCTTAGCCCTGAGCTATGATTATACAGGTCTCCCTTGAAAATGTGTCCTCATGACTCAATGAGACTAACCTGTTGGTTAAGGTTGAATGAAAATACAGTCTCACTTGTTCACTAAGAGCTTTGTGGTGTATTTGGCAGTAAAGACCTGAAAGACCAGTAGGTCTTTAAGTACAGACGGATGCATCAGGTGTATAATTGTGATGCCATGCAAATCAATATAGTGCACAAAGGTGATTTTGAACAAGCTAAAGAGCTGAGGAATGGTAGCGGAGGAAGAAGGGCACCAATCCAGGATTTTTCCTTTTCCCCTTTTTGTGTCGCCACTCAATGATTAATCGAAAGCCATTAGCGTTGAGTCAAGGCCAGTGAATTCAGTTTTAATTAGTTTCTTCTTTTTTTTTTTTTACCTCATTCTCCTTTGCTTTGACATTTTATGTGCTTTATCTACACAATGAAAAATTGGCAAACTGCTTATCTGATTTTTGCCTTAAGTGTCTTCCAGCTAGTATTGACGTACCATGCTGTATCAGGAGGCTGATGGCTCACCTGGGGTCTAAAGATGTACTCCTTTATGAGAAACTAAATGCATACACACGCTCACACACAGTCTTTCCTTTAGCAAACTCAGCAAAAGGACATTTAGAGGTGAGGTGGCTGTATTCTCACTAAGTTCAGCTCTTGAGGGTAGATCGGTTAGGAGATGGACCTGCTTGGATTTATCAAGGAATCCCACAAAGACACCGTTGCAGGGGCTCAAGGATCAATGGGATCTGTGTTATGTGCCGAGAAAAGGGTTTACACTCCCTGCAGTCCTTTATCGAAAAGATTTGACAAAGATATTGTACCTGATATAATGTCTATCTCTGTCGCCGACATACTTCTAATTCTGAGGTGAGTGTTGGGTCAAGTTCTGTAATTGAAGTAGAGATAATCCAGCTAATCTTTCCTTCATCAGTTCCTATAATTCACATCACTCCCCGGGTAACGTGTTCATTTTTTTAGGTTGTTTTCAATTTTACCAAAAAGGATTGATACGTATTTACTTTAGGTTCTGAATAAATTGGAATACTTGTACTTGTCAAATTTTAGCAAAGTACCATGAGAGCGTTTCCAACATTAATTACATTGTATTGTCTTTATGACTGTAATCCTTACACATGTCTAACCAATTATATTTTCTAAAGCTTCTTGAAAGCTGTGCACATCCTTTTTTAAACTTCTGAAGAGCTGCTTAGAACTACAAAATCCTGGCAACTCCCCTGCTACTCTCGTTACCTGATAAAGGCTCTGCTTAAAATTCTTGAAAAGCCGTTTTGTTTTCACAGTCACTTCAGCAGAGTTCTGCAGTCTTTATTTTGATGTGAGGGACAGCTTGCAGGGTTTTAGAGTTGTCAAATATAATTGTACGGAGCCAAAGACAAAATGACTCTTTTTCTTTTATTGTTCTTCCTTTTTTTTAATCGCTGCCCCGTGGTTCTTTGTTCTTGTTTTGTGTTGACCGTGAGAGCCACTGGGTTGATGTGAACTTGTTTGTGCAATCAACAAGATTTTTCACCGAGCTGTTTCACTTTTAAAATCCTGCGTATTCCACATGAAGACGACCTGCAGCTACCAGTCAATGTCAGCGATTAAATCGAAGCATGCCAGCATCAAATCAGCCTTTATTAGCCCATTTTAAACTGATGTTATTGGTCTAATGGCTACCTGTTAATTATGGTTTTATCATTACAATGACAGGGTTGAATTGAACTGATTCTGCTTCCGGGTGTTCCTGCACTTCATAGAAATACTCATCTGCCTGCTAATCTTTTATGAAGTCAAATAATCTAGAAGGTGACATTTACATACTCTCTTCCAAGTCAGTTAATGCTCATGATGTGGTTGTTGTTATCACCAGGCCAATAATGGAGATTAGCCAAAGTCACCTCGGCAACTTGGAGTGCGGCTCTTATCTTGTCTCGCTCTTAGAAGGTCATTGATTGCCCTGCTCCTTTTTTTTTTTCACAGTGTGGGCGCTCTCTCACATTGTTGTCCTTTGTGTTTCTGCAGAGCTGCGGGAGATAGTGTTTGTCATCCAAAGTCAAAGAAACTCCTTCCATGTGAAGCAGGCAGAAAGGCAGAGAGCAGATTTACTCAAGCAGGCGCATAGCCTCACAGCGGTAAGATTCAAGTCTCGTGCTCTCCTTCTCTTTCTTTGACACACTGAATATGGACACTCATGCACTAAAGGTTTTACTATAGACTGAAAATAGTTTCACTGTCTGAAGAGGTTATTTCTAAACGTGAGCTTTAGCTGGGCGTTGACGCCATCTGATGCCAACACTGGTTTGCCAAAACATCGCAAATGTATTTACATGCTGTTGCTATTTGCATGAATGTCAGAAAATACTCCTAAATTTTAATATTTCATAACGGCTTGACAAATTATTCATGATAACCTTTATGGACCCCTGCATGTAAGTGCATTTAAGTCCTAAATATGAAAGCATGGTTTAAAATATGCAAGAGTCTCAGCTCTTTGTGACATATGGCTACTTATAATTTTATGTAATTAGAAAATCTTTTTGCTCCGTTCAGGAGGAGGCTGAGGACGTTGATTCTGAATGAGCTGCACTTGACTGTGTGAGACTGTAGAGGCATTGGGAGGGGAGTGACCTAAGATCTCTTTAGTCACGCTGATAGGACATCTTTAGAGGAAGCAGAGTTCCAGGTCTTGTGTTTTCTTTGACACTAAGGTCTTTAAGTTCACCTACCTTCTTCTAGAAGAAGAGGCCCCAGTGATGCTTCTGTCAGACTGACCAGTTACATCAAAGTGTGGGACAGGGACTTCCTGAGTGGACTTTATTAGATGTTGGGTTTGATCTCCTAAAGTCTCACCAACTTTAGGGAATCTTGTTTCTGAGACTCGAAAGCAGAAGTGCCCAACCATGATCCTTGTGGTCTACTGTCCTGTATTTTTTAGTTTCCCTGCTTCAACACACCCAGCTGAAGTGAACGAGTTATTGACTGGTTTATACTTCTACTAAACTTGATGACATTCTCAGTAAGTAATTCAATTATTTGAATCAATTTGTGTTGAAGCAGGGAAACAGTTAAAACATGCAGGACAGTGAGCAACAAGGATCAAGTCTGTGGACTTTTGCTCTATCTTGCCCAGAGTCCTGAATAACAGAATAAGTATTCCTCAAGAAAAATAAAAGAAATTTAATTTTTCAGTCTGCCTTTCACTATTTTCAGTGTGCCTTCACAGTTTTATTTTCTCAGTGAACGTGTTAATTTCTTATGAATAGTCTTACCTGCAATAGCCAGCAGTCGGTGAATTCTGCAAGGAGAAGATAAGGTTTCTTAGAGATAAATCAAGGTTACAGAGCCTCAGAACTTGGTATCTTAATGGTTTTTTTTTTTATTTTTATCTTAAACCTAAAAAAAAATTTTTTCATTTCAAGTATTGCTGTTTTGTATGTTTTATGTTGACAATTTGAATTATCCCTTTTTTTGTAAACAGGATTTTTATTGATTTTTTTCAATTTTGAACATATGACAAAAAAAAGAGAACACAGAGAACAACAAAGTGCTTTTCATTAAGACAATAAATCCCATCAAGGCCGATTTAAATATAGTGTGTTACAAGAGATTGAAAGACTTTAAAAATCATCATTTGGGAACAAAGATGTTATAATTAGTTGATATCATGTACTTCCCAAAGTAAAACCAAGTAATTATCTGGCAGTGACACTGAATACATCATATTAATGAACTCATTGTGGAATTTGTGAGACAGCATAATATGGAGTCAAAAGCAACGGGCAACAATAATGAAATAATTTAAAGGTTACAATGAATGTTATGCTTGGAAAAATAAATAGATAAAATGCTATTTTTACAACATGTTCCTTCTTCCAATCTTCTTAGGTACAAGTTATAATAATCCATCTATGACTTCAGTTTCACCTCCACAACACAAAACAGTTTGCAGTTCTGTTTATAGACATGCAGGCTGCTTCCCGGTGCAAGACGCTGAACCAATCACATGAGCTGAGTACATATACATTATGTTCTGGCATATTATGGTAGTTTGTAAGGAAGGAAGGCAATATACTGTATATACATCTATATTTATATCTATCTCTATAGATATAAATAACACCAACAAGGACCGTATGGAGTTTGTCTATATTTTTTTTTCAGCTATACCAGCTTCCACTATTCTTGGAAGGCTTTACATAGAATTGTGAAGTACTTCTGTGGGAATGTATTCCCATTCATTCTGTAGAGCATTTTTGAGGTCAGGCACTGATTTTGGGTGAGAAGGTCTGGCTTTGTAATCTCTGTCCAGTTCATCCCAAAGGTGGATGATGGGATTGAGGTCAAGTCACTGTTCAGTGAAGTCCTTCCACACAAAACTCATTAAAGTGTGTCTTCATAGTACTTGTTTGGTGCACTGGGGCAAAGTTATGTTGGAAGAGAAAATGGCATTCCCCAACGTGTTGCTACAAAAGTTGTAAGCAGAATATTGTCTAAAAATGTTTTAGTATGTGGACGTGTTGAGTGTCTATTCCCAGAGATATGGGGCCATATCCTGACTAAAACACCTGAATTCAACAATTAGCGGATACGTTTTCCATAAACTGAATGTTGGTTTGTATGTTTGGCAAACAGAACTTTGAGAACAAGTACCTGCAGAATTTATTTTCAGAGACACTCCAAAGACCAGAGATGGGCAGAAACACTACTTGCGCCACACAATGTGCACTGTTTTCAAGCAAAATATTTTCTACTGAACAGATAGCTTCTCTTTATTATTTTCTAAAGCATATTTGTAGTCTGTGACCCTGAACTAATTAGATAAGGGCTACTCAGTTTTTGTAAGGTTTATATTCATCCTTTGAATAAAATAAGTTTTGTTTTTGGCATCACGGGTCATAGAGTTCACACAAAACCACAAGTTGTGTGTGTATTTTGAACAGGCACTGCATTTACCAGTGGAATGGAAAACTATAGCTGCTGCACTACTTGCTGTACAGTAAATTATATATAAAAATATTTATACCAGATTTAAAAAAAACCACAAAATCATTGATACAGTATTGAAATGATTGAAATAAGCAGGATCCATTAACGCAACAAGAGCAATTATAAATTATGGCTACTTAAGTTAACACGCTTCATTTTTGTACTGATTTCTAGTACAGTAACTAAAACTTGTGTATTTTCAGAACCCCCCCAAGGTTTTGTTTCTTCACAGTTTGTCAGAAAATGAAGGTGATTGGAGCATCCTTCCTCTGCTGCCTTAGTAAGTATCCTTGAACTGCGGAGGTTTGAATATTATGTAGATGCCACAGTCTCTGTCCATTTCCACATTTGATTAATCTTTGCTACATTTGTTGAGAAGTCATTGCAATGGCAATACTTGTGACTGATTGCTTCACGTTATAGTAAAAACCTTCTTAATGTGTGTCAGTTTGTGTGAAAATAAGCTCATTAGAGCAGTTAATCATGATAAGAATTCATTAGCAACAGCTGCCTGGGCGCTACTTAAGAATCCGATACGTGCTCCTGATTTTGTTAGGTAATTGTCTTGCATAACAAATGTTCAATACTTGGATCAATAAAATCACATCATTAGTCTTTGCATGAAATATTGGGACTGCTTTTTTAGATTTGGTTCCTATATGTAAGTGTTCTGTTCGTCCTTGATGAACTTTGGTGCTTTGTTTGTGAATGTGTGTCCTCAGCTTGTCCAACTCGTTTGAGAAAAACTCGTCCTGGATCGTGTTTCTCGAGGAGGAAACAAATGTAAACATTGTTACTCTTCTCCACGTCCTGGTAAAATTTGACAAGAGCAAAGTAAGAATCTTTTTTTTTTCACACCGTCATCATATTCTGTCTCTTATTGTGTAAATCATCGGTGAGGCAAAGCTTCTTCTTTTGAGCTCCAGCTTTTATTTGATCATCACCTCAATTAGCCAGTATGATTCTCAGGTTGGCTCCGTATCCTTTGAGTCTGTCGGGCTTCGCTGAGCTCCACCACATCAAATCATCCCCTGTCAGACACAGCTCTGCTGTCTTGCTCCAATTAAACATTTTTCATTCATATAATAATTGTCCATCTACGCATATGGGATCGAACCAGTGGCTATGATAAATGCAAAATAGATTTATCAAGAAAATAAAACACCCATCTTAATAAGTGTCAGCACTAAAATATCCACGGTATTATATGCTTCTTTAGGAATCTTCATGCTAATCCAGATAACGGGGAGGTTTTTCTTTTTGATCTGGGTGCTCAGCAGTTGTTTTTCTTTATTTTTATTTTTTATTTTTTTGGTGTCAGTTCTTCTTGTCAACAGGCTGAAGCACAAGCAGATCTTATAATTACACTTTGATGTTAATCTGACAGAAATTAATAATCCATTATTTCTTCCAGCAAAAGCATAGGCTTGTTTATGTCTGTTATTTGGCTGTCTTACATAAACCCTTCATAGCATGTTATTCTCAAGGCAAAGATGGTTTTCAGTATGGTTTGCATATTAAATCTTTCATCCTGAGGAGGAGGGGAAGACAAAATAATACATCCTGATGACTTGTTTCATTACAATGAGCCCCCAAGCAAAATATTCTTTCTCGAGTGTTACAGCTCATCGTGGTCAGCTTCAGTCTGAGCCGAGGAAGGGACGAATAAAGTTTTTGTTTTGGAATATTTAAAGAAAAGAAATGTGCTCTCAAGAGCATGGCACAAAATCTTAGTGTTTCATGACTTCTCTCATAACCACAACAAGCTACAGCTTCGGCCTCGTTGTAAGACACCAGACATTAAGGCAGCAGAGATGAAGGTGTTGTGTCACTGCGGACAATTTTTCTCAGGAATGAATGTAGTAAAAAAAACTAACAAATGAAGATTTCAGTCAGTAGCTTCAGCGGACAACAGAATATTTTGTGCCAAGGTTTAGGCAGCTCAGTGGAGGCCACATCTTCCAGTTAGCTTACTCTTTATTTGAACTCTATTATCTGTAACTTCTACCTGAATTACTGTGTGGATGTTTATGAAGCATTCACACATTCACACACATTCACACTCTGTGGTCCACACTGCACTCAACCACCTGGAGCAGAAAAACTCTTACGTCCGTATGCTCTTTGTGGACTTCACATCCACCTTCAACACCATGATCCCCCAAACCCTGATGGACAAACTATCCACACTAGGACTAAGCCCCTCCATCTGCAACTGGGTACTAGACTTTTTAACAAACAGACCACAGTTAGTGAGGATCCACAACCTCTCCTCCTCCACCATAACCCTCAGCACTGGCTCTCCTCAGGGATGTGTGTTGAGCCCCCTCCTGTTTACTCTGCTCACATATGATTGTGCAGCTACCCATCCAGGCTGTCACATTGTAAAGTTTGCAGATGATACAGCGGTGGTGGGATGCATCACAAACAATGATGAGTCCAGCTACAGGCAGGAGGTGGAACACCTGGAGAGCTGGTGCAGAGAGAATAACCTTCACATCAATGTGAAGAAGACAAAGGAGATGATTGTGGACTTCAGAAGGAACAAAAACACCTACACCCCCCTGAACATAAGAGGATCTGCGGTGGAAGTGGTCTCCAGCTACAAGTACTTGGGTGTACACATGAATGACAACCTCAGCTGGAGCAACAACACCACCAGCCTGATCAAGAAAGCTCATCAGAGACTCTACTTCCTCAGACGGCTGAGGCGAGCTGGTCTGGGAAGCTCAGTCCTCACCTCCTTCTACAGGTGTGCAGTGGAGAGCATCCTGTGCTCGAGCATCAATGTGTGGCATGGAGGCTGCACAGCTGCAGAAAGAAAAGCTTTGCAGAGAGTGGTGAAGGCTGCACAGAAATCTGTTGGAATCAGTCTCCCCACCATCACAGACATCTACACCTCCAGATGCAGGAAGAGGGCCACCTGCATCATGAAGGACCCCACCCACCCAGCACACACACTTTTTGCCCCACTCCCCTCAGGAAGGAGGTTAAGGAGCATTAAGTGTAGAACCACTAGACTGAGGAACAGCTTCTACCCTGAGGCTGTTAGACTCATGAATCTCTAACTAGAATAATCACTGTGAAAAACCATATCATGTTGCTGCTGATCTGTTTCATGTTGCTGCTGATCTGTTTCAATGTTGATGTGTTCATGCGTGCACATCTGCTCACAGACTCATGTTCATGTTTGTGGTGATGTTCAATGTTTTATGTTATGAGTGCTTAGTGTATATTTAGTTGATATTTTTCTTAGTTCATATCTTAGATGTTATTACTGTTTTTCTTATACATTTTATTGTTGGATGTAACTGGGACCCTGTGTACATAATTTCGCTCCACCACATGTACCACATGAGGTGCGAATGACAATAAAGAAACTCTGACTCTGACTCTGACTATTGTGATCCATTTATCTTCCTACGTTTTTCACCTCTTTCAGGACAATCCTGCTTTTAGCTTTTTGAAATATTTTGCATTTTCTGCCACTTTTTTTTGCATAGGAAAATAATTGAGCTCATCCTTTGATCCATCTTTTGATCTGTTTTCTGGTTCAGCTTCTTTCAGCTTCCTCGTGCAAATTTAAACTTTTTTCAGCTACTTTCAGCTAATTTCAACTGGTTTTCATCTGCTTTGTAATCCTTTTAGATTATTTCTGCCATCTACAATATTTTTATGCTTCTTCTAACTTTTTTCTGATAATTGCAGCTTGTTATGCTCCTTTCAGCAATGTGCTGCTAGTTTCAGCTTTTTCTGCTATTTCAGCTAATCTTTAGCTGTTTTATGCTAATTTTAGGCTTTTCAACTTCACTCATTTCAACTTTTTTCAGCCTAATTCAGCAAAATGTGCTCTTTCTACTTCATTCTTGTAATTTCATAGTCTTTCTGCTTTTTTTTAGCTACTTTTAAGATGATTTTTGCTAATTTCAGCGTTTTTCAGATATTGTCCTTTTTTGTGCTCATTTCTGCTTCTTTCAGCCTAATTGGACAAACGTGTGTTCTTTCTTTCTTCTGCTAATTTAAGCTTGTTGTAACTTTTCAGCTACCTTTTTAGCATTTATTTTAACTAATTTCAGCTGTTTTCAGATAAATTAAAGTTTTTCATGGTTATTT